AAACCAACAACTCAATTAAAAAATGGACACAGGACATGGACAGATACTTCACCAAGGAAGACATCAAGGCAGCCAACAAATATATATAAAGAAATGTCCATTATCATCAGCCGTTGTTAAAAGTCATCCAGTTGGTTCCAACCCATAGTGACCCTGTATAGGTTTTCCATGGAGCAGCTGGTGAACTTGAACCACCTACCTTGTGGTTCCAACTAACTTTGCAGTCTAGAGAGATGCAAATCAAAACAATGTCTAGAGAGATGCAAATCAAAACAATGTGATATCTCTTACCAACATTGACAGCAAAGTTAAAAAAATTTTTTTTTAAACCACAGGAAATAACAAATGCTGGCAAAGATGTAGAGAGACTGGGACTGTAAAATGGTTCAACCACTATAGAGAATGGTATGACGATTCCTCAGAAATTTGGATATAGAAATACACTATGACACAGCAATCCCTCTACTTGGTATATATCCACAAAAATGTAAGCCAGAGCACGCCGATGCTCATTGCAGCACTATAGCAGATAGCAGAAAGATGGAAACAGCCTAAGTGAGTAATAATGGAAGAATGGATAAACAAGCTTTGGTAAATACACACAATGGAATACTATGCAATGTTAAAGAATAACATGAATCTAAAAAACACCTCTTAATATGAATGAACCTTGAGGACATTATGCTGAGTGAAATTAGTCAATCACAAAACAAATATTGTATGAAACCATTATTGCAAAAGCTTAAGAAAAGGTTTCCAGACTAAAAGAAACACTCTTTCATGGCTACTGGGATGGAAGGGGGAAAATAATTCACAGAACAGAGGGTAGACACATGTTGGCTTCAGTTATGGGGAGGGCAATATACAAGAAGAGGGAGGGTGGCAGAAGAGTACTGAAGATATTTGAAGATACTAGGAGGTATGCAGGGATAGATGCTAGAGGAGATAGGTGCAAATATTGATATATATACAACCTTGGAACAACAGTGTTTCTGGGCATAGATACATGAATTGAAACATAGACTGAATGGGTAAGGGAAGAAGAGTGACACGTACATATTGCTATATCCCATAAATATATGAGTTTGAAAGAGAAAAATGGAACATTCTTTGATGGTTTCCAGGAATCGGAGGGCAACACAAGAAAAGAAAGGACAATATACATGAAGAGGGAGGCTGGCAAAAGTTTGAGGAAGACAGGGGGATATACAAGACTAAAGAGTATAAAGGTAAATAGTGATATATATATATATATACAACCTTGTCACAACAATACTCTGCAGGTAGTTACATGTACAAAGACAAATGTTGAATGATTATGGGAAGAAGAGTATATTGTGTGTAAATGTGTATGTATGTGTATATGCATATATATGTATATATGTAGGTATACATATATGTGGCCCACAGATATACAAGACTGTGAAAGAGGAAATTGGTTCATGAGTATTTACTTTTCCTGCAAACACCATTGTGAATGTGGTAGTACACACCATGGGCAAAATGATGAATACTGGATATTATCAAACATCTTAAGGCAATGAGTTGCTGAGCCTGAGGGCTCACGACGATAGTCTCAGATGACACCATGGTCTATTGACACAACAGAGTACACAAAGTCAATGTTCTACATCCTACTTTGGTGAGTAGCATCTGGGCTATTAAAATCTCATGAGCAGACATCTAAAGTGCAGCTATTGGTCTCTTTATGTGCATAAGAAAGAAGAGTGTTGAGAATTAAAGATGCTTGGAATCAACTTGTCAAACAAACTAATGGAATATGTGAACTTCAGTCTCCACTACCAACTGCCCTGAACAGGATTACATTAGTAGGTCCTGTATAGAGTAACAAAATGTGTGGAACCAAACTCAAAAATATTTTAAAAGGTCAGGATTACTGGTCAGAAAGAAACTGAAGGACGCTGAGACTGTGGTCTTTGACCATGCTTCAGGTCTAGAAGGGAACACACCCTCTTTCAGCCAAGCAGTAGATAGGTACATAGGGGGAACAACAGCACCAGTAAGATATGCTCACGATGAATGATGGAATAGTCCATCATTCAAAATCATACGGATAATATGTACCCAAGGACAATGACGAGAAGGGATGGGAAGGTGACTGGAAGGGAAGTAGAAACCACAGGAAGGAAGCAGATGAGTGTTGTTCCACAGAGAGGACTGTAATCATTCAAATGAAACAAAGTGTATTATTTATGAATGTAAAACTGATGATCTTATCTGTAAATATTCACTCAATTCATAATAAAAAGTTCAAAAAAATGAAATCCTAAGAGTGAACAATATTCATAAAAGATAAATGTAATTATGGTTAAATCAAGGGAAACAAGGAAAAAAATTGCATTGTATTCCAACGTTTTTGCAGGTCTTTCCAGAATTTGATTTGCCTAGAACTGCAATTTGACTTCTCTTAAAAGATACAATCAAAAATTTCTTCATTTATAAAATCAGAAAAATGAACTAGACCTTCTCTTAAGGTTATTATTCAGCTGCTTGATTCAACCTGACATTTTTCTTTGAGGATCAAAAAGTCTTAAAGGTTTTTTTAAAATAGCTATCTTTTTAATACACTTCAAGTAAGATCTTCCTGTAAGGGCACTCTTCCCAGGGTATAGCATGTAATGATGAAATAAGTTCTAAACAGTGAGTACAAAAACCAAATCTGGACAACTCAATTATATGCATCTTATATGCATCACTATGATCAACAGCTACATATTATAAATTGTCTTCCCTTTTCAATTGGGATAGAGACTAGCAGAAAAGTCTGAGATGATGCCAAGGGGTAGTTCTGCAGAAACCGTGGAAGACAAAAGCACCTCAATTTGATACCAGCCTAGTAGTTATTGAAAACTTTACTATATCTGAGATCATGCTTGCTACATGACTAGAAGGCTGTTTGAAAATATCCTCGCAGTACCATATACCCCACACAAATACTGGTAGGCGGAGTGCAGGGACACAACAAGGGCATACTATACTACATCTTTCCCAGATCTTGCTATTTGGGGTTGCAGTGTTACAATGATATGCATGGGCAAGGAGTAAGACATACTTTCTACTCCAAATGGAATGACCCCAATGAGAAGGAATCTTTTTATAACACCTGTGAGTAAATAGAGGTCAAGAAAACTTCACAGCATTATTAAATTATATGACCTCATTCCCTCTTGCAAGAAGGAGGGGACGATAAAACGATATTTCTATAGTTGTTTTTAACAATGACAGACTGTACTTTAGGGGACTAAGCAATTTCAGTCCACCCATGAAATAACTGCCCAAGAGAGAGTAACTGAAGAATGTTCTCATGATGGCCAGAGATGCTGTTACACAACTTGCTGGCCGAATCAGCCCAAATTCCCCTTCATCTCCGCACAGTTTCCATGGCAGCATCTTATGCCAGATTTGCTTTAATCACTTTGAGCTCACAGTTGAAGAATTAAGCCATAATGGTATTCTCATTATCACTTCAAAACTGCACAAAGCTTACCATAGTCATAGACAATAACCATTTTCCCCAGCCCATGTACTGACAAAACAAGAGCCCTGTGTGCAGTGGATAAGTACTTAGCTGCTAACTGAAAGTTCTGCGGTATGTGCACACCTGTCATTCCACAGCAGAAAGCTATGGCAGTTCACTTCCATAAAAATTTACCTTGAAAACCCTATGGGGCAGTTCTATTCTGTCCTATGTTTGCTATGAATTGGAATCAACTTGAGTTTATAATGACTAAAAGGACATAAAGCACAAAAGATGTTCTGTTTTCATTTGAATTTATGAAGCAATTGGGTAACTGTGTTTTCTATAATGAAATCAGCTAGAACCATGTCATAGGATCTGACAATCAACAATTATCTACATCAGTGTAAACTTTTCACAAATCCAAAAATGAAAGACAAAAATGTACAATTGAGTTAAAAACCAAACAACTAACTGATATTTCACTCTAATTTGATGATTTACCACGAGATGTCTCAATATTCTATTTACAATATTGAGAAAACACATCGGAATTTTGGCTGCAGATTACTTCTTTAAAAAATTCTATACTTTGCATCCAAATTCTTTAATATTTACATTTTTCAATATTCCAAAAATAAAAAATATTTTTCTACTTAATACTGAAAATATATGTTATTTTAAGTAATGTATTCCTAAAGTGTATTTTTATATTCACAGGATTACTTAGATTTAAAGAAATCATTAACTTGAAGAAATTCACAAGAATCTTAGCATCTTCTGTAAGAGTTGCCCTCTAGTGGTTTCTTGATAGCACAACACCCAGAGCCACTTACCTGAGAATTGGCAGCTTTCTCAGGGACGGGGAGGACAACTGATTGTGCTTCCTGGAGAATCTTTGGCTTTCCATAGTTACGTCCACCAGCAAGCGTCACAGTCACCAGTTGCAAAATAAAATTAGAACCCAGTAACAGGAAGATCTATTTAAAAATAAAAAAAGTATCAATGATTTTAAAATAATATATAATTTTCAGAACAAAATACTGACATTAGACATGATCCATTAACATATTAACTACAGCTCCTTTAGTATCAAAATGTTTCATCAATATTTTCCCTTTTCCCTTTTTATAAAGCAAATAACCAATATGGAAAATGTAGGGTGAAGAATGTTAGTTGTAAAGACCAAATATGTCAAGAATACCATGAATCATAAGACTAGTTGTTGTTGTTGTTGTTTTTGTTGTTGTTAGGTGCCATCAAGTCGGTACTGACTCATAGCGAACTTATTCACAGAACAAAACACTGCTGGATCCTGGGCCAACCTCACTACTGTTGCCACGCTTGAGTTCATCGATGCTGCCACTTGGCCAATATATCTCATTGGGGGTTTTCCTCTTTTTCTCTGACCCTCCACCTTACCAAACATGATATCCTTCTCCAGGGCCTAGCCCCTCCTGACAATATGTCCGAATTATGAGAGATAAAGTTTAGCCATCCTGGGCTTCAAGGAGCACTCTGGCTGCACTTCTTCCAAAATAGATCTATTGGTTCTTTTGGCAGCCCATAGTATTTTCAATATTCTTCTCTAACATCATAACTCAAAGGCATCAATTCTTCTATGGTATTCTTTATTCACTGGTTTTGCTCATCTGAAACCTGTCCACCATGGGTGACCCTGCTGGTATTTAAAATACCCATGGCATAGTTTTCAGAATCACAGCAACTAACAAGCCACCACAGTACAACAAACTGACAGATGAGTGGTGGATAAGACTAGTATGAGTGATGTAATCACAGCCAAGAAAATGGAAAAAGCTTTTGAAAAAATAGTGTCAACTTCAACTCCTAAAGCTCAGCAAATCTTGTTTTTTTCCCTCCTCGCTGAGTAATAAAAATAATTCTACTGGTATCTATTTTAAAAGAATTTAGGTGGCCTGATTATCTAGATATTTTGAAAACACAAGTATTGTTAATGTGTTGTTGTTAAGTGCCACTGAGTCAGTACCGACTCATAATGACCCTGAATAGGGTTTCCGAGGCTTTACATCTTCGTGAAAGCAGAAAGCTTCATTTTTCTTCTGTGTAGCAGCTTGTGGGCTCAAACCTTGGACCTTGTGGTTTGCACTCCAGTGCTTATCATATGGAGCCACAATGCTTCTTAAAAATTACTAATAACTTGTATTAAATCACCAATTTTCAAAGTTTTAAAATCTTCCAAAACAGGACAAATCAAGAATTTGCATACTGGTTTAATTCTAAAAGTTTTGGAATCATAGAATACATGCTACCATTGAAACATTGTTATTCATAGTGTGTAAACCCTGAAGTAATTCCATAACCTAGACTATTACTAAAATCTCTGTATATCTTCCTTGGATGTAGATATAATGTACTTAACCATATACCACATCCACAAATATGTATCAAATGGTTTCAAACTTTGTGTAACATGAGGGGTAACAAGGTATTTATGTAACAAGAGGGTAACATTCATTCAATCATCATTTACAGAAAATAGCTTTCACTGAACATGAACCATAGTTAAGTGCTAAACACAGTATGCTGACTTCAGTCGTGTGTACCCTGCAACTCCTATAAGGTCACTGGCTGGGCAGTTAAGGAGTTTTTATTTCCATTTCCCAAAGACAGAAGGGCCAGGTGTCAGTTTAAACCATGCAGCCATCCATGCCTTCTTACTCAGCAACTTTGCTCATGGCTTTGTGGCCTCTGCCAGCTCAACATACACAAACTTGTCTAATGTAGTAGATACAAAGGGTGCCAGAAATCAAACATTCAAGTGAATATAAGCTATCCATTCCACAGTGTCTTCTCAGGATAGCTCCGATCTTACTATCCTCTGGGCCAATCTTTCTTAATTATTAGATCATTAATCCTCAGTGATATTAATAAAACCAGTGTACGAAATAAGTGAACACTACAAAAATCATCTTGAGAGTTATATAACTTTTTTAATGGTCTCAGTTCATTAACCAAATCCTGATTCCCAGAGACCATACAGAGCAGAGTTGTTGTTATTGTTAAGTGCCATTGAGTCAGTTCCAACCCATAGCAACCCTGTATAGGGTTTCCAAGGAGCAGCTGATGAGCTTGAACTACCAACCCTACAGTTTAAATGACTTTGCAGTCTGACGCATTCACCCACAGCACCACACCAAGACTCCACAGAATAGAGTTGTTGTTGTCATATGCCGTGGAGTTGGTTCTGACTCATAGTGACCCCATACAGGGTTTCAGAGGCTGTAAATCTTTATGGGAGCAGAAAGCCTCATCTTTCTCCCACAGAACAGCTGGTAGTTTTGAACTGCTGATGGTGGGACTGCAGCTCGATTCGTAACCACAGCCAGAGCTCCTTACAGAATAGATTAGAACTGCCAAAAAGGGTTTCAAAAGCTGTAAATCTTTCCAGAAGCAGATTGCCACATCTGCTGGTGGTTGGCTTGTTCAAACCAGCACACTCTCATTTAGAGGCTGAGTTCTTTTACCACTGTGCCACCAGTGGCTCTTGAAGGACCCATTGCTATTGTTGTTAAATGCCGTGGAGTTGGTTTTGACCCATAGCAACCATGTATAGGGTTTCCAAGGAGTGGCTGCTGAGCTTAAACCGCTGACCTTGCAGTTCAAACCAACTTTACAGTCCAGCGCATTAACCCACACCACCACAATAGGATTCCATTATGGTAACAACAAAACGGAACTCTGAACAAAGAAATCTTTAAGTCATTCATTGTCACATTGATCCCTAAAGTGGTGAGTATCCCTGTCTGTCATGCAGACCACAGTCTGTTTCCCTGACAAGGAGGCCAGCAGCATTTGGTATTGACATTTTAAATGAAAAGAAATGGATCTTTCTTGGAGTCCTGGTATAGCCTTGTAGGATAAGCACTAGACCGTAAGGTCAGTTTGAACTACAAGGTCGGCGGTCCAAACTCACCAGCCACGTCTCGGAAATCCTATACAAGTTTGCTATGAGTCAGAACCAACTCAATAACACCAATAACAACAACACTATCTCTATAAGAGTTGTAACAAAATCTATAGCTTCATTAATAGTCAATGAATTGTTTTAGACATAACATTAAAATGTATTACAGAAAGAAAAAAACTAAGCTAAAATGAGAATAAAATAGTGTATACCTATTTATAAGAGCTTTTTATAACTGCCAGAAGAAGAAAGAAATCTGTCTTGGAAGAGGTGCAGACAGAATGCTCCTTAAAAGGCAGAATGGGAAGACTGTGTCATACTACAGACATGTTATCAGGAGGAACCAGTCCCTGGAGAAGGACATCATACTTGGAAAAGTGGATGGTCAGCAAAAACAAGGAAGGTCCCCAATGGCATGGATTAACACAGTAGCAGCACTAATGGGCTCAAATATAACAAGAACTGGAAGGAGGGCGCAGCAACAGGGAGTGTTTTGCTCAGTTGTGCACAAGATACCTGAGTCAGAAGCAACTCAATGACACCTAACAACTTAACAAGACCATTTGTTGTTGTTGTTAGTAGACCCCAACTCAAAGGGACCCTAATTACAGGAGAACAAAATACTGCCCAGTCCTATACCGTCCAAAAACCTTTGCTATGGAGGAGCTTATTGTTCAGCCACCATGTCAATTCTTCTTTTTGTTTGTTTTTTTAATGATTTTATTGTGAACTGAGTGAAAGTCCACAGGGTAGATCATCAGATTTACACTCAACAAATCATTCACCATGCACAGCAGAACGAAACAATGTCCGATCCTGGGCCAACCTCACTACCACTGCCACACTTGAGTCCATCAATGATGCCACCTGGCCAATCCATCTAGTTAGAGGTCTTCCTCTTTTTCTCTGACTCTCCACCTTACCCAGCATGACATCCTTCTCCAACGATTGTTTCCTCCAGACAATATGTTCAAAGTATGAGAGACGAAGCTTAGCCATCCTGGCCTCCAAAGAGCACTCTGGCTGCACTTCTTCCAAAACAGATTTATTGGTTCTTTTGGCAGTCCATGGCACTTTCAATGTTCTCCTCCAACACCATAACTCAAAAGCATCAATTCTTCTATGGTCTTCCTTATTCACTATCCAATTTTCGCATGCATATGAGGTTATTGAAAATATGGCTTGGGTCAGGCGCACCTTAGTTCTCAAGCTGACATCAATCAATATTCTTCAACCTTTAAAAAGGTCTTGTGCATCAGATTTGCCTAATGCAATACATCATTTGATTTCTTGGCTGCTGCTTTCATGAGTGTTGATGGTTGATTTGAGAAAAATGAACTCTTTGACAACTTCAATCTTTTCTCCATTGATAAGAATGTTGTCTATAGTTCCAGTGGTGGGGATTTTTGTTTTATTTATATTGAGATGCAATTCATACTGAAGGCTATGGTCTTAGATCTTCATCAATAAGCATTTTAAGTCCTCTTCATTTTCAGCAAGCAAGGTTGATCATCTGCATAGCGCAGGTTGTTAATGAGTCTTCCTCCAATCCTGATGCCACATTTTTCTTCATATAACCCAGTTTCTTGGATTATTTACTCAGCATACAGGTTGAATAAGTATGGTGAATGAATACAACCCTGGCACACACTTTTTCTAATTTTAAACCATTTGGTGTTCTGTTTGAACAACTGCCTCTTGGTCTAGGTAGAGATTCCTCATGAGTACAATTAAGCATTCCAGAATACTCATACTTCACAGTGTTGTACATAGCTTGTCATGATTCACACAATTGAAAGCCTTTGCATAATCAATAAGGCACAGGTAAACATCTTTCTGGTATTCTCTGCTTTCAGCCAAGATCCATCGAACATCAGCAATGATATTCCTCATTCCATGTCCTCTTCTGAATCTGGCTTAAAGCTTTGGAAGTTCTCTGTCAATTTATAATTGCAGCTATTTCTGTATTACCTTTAGTAAAACTTTACTCATGTGGAATATCAATGATATTGTACGATGATTTCCACATTATGGTAGTTCACCTCTCTTAAGAATGGGCACAGATATGGATCTCTTCCAATGAATTGGCCATATAGTTGTCTTCCAAATTTTTTAGCAGAGATGAATGAGTGCCTCCTGTGCTACCTCGTTTACTTGAAAGATTTCAATTTTTATTCCATCAATTCCTGGTGCCTTGTTCTTTGCCAATTCTTTCAATGCACATTGGACTTCCTCCTTCAGTATCATTGGCTCTTGGTCATATGCTACCTATTGAAATGGTTGAATGTTGACCATTTCCTTTTGGTACAGTAATTGTGTATTCCTTCTGTCTTCTTTAGATCTTTTCTGCATCATTCAATAATTTGCCCAGAGAATCCTTCAATAATGAAAATCAAAGTTTGAATTTTTTTCTTCAGTTACCTCAGCTTGAGAAATGTTGAGCATGTTCTTCCCTTTTGCTTTTCGAACTCCAGGTCTTTGCACATTTCATTGTAATATTTGACTTTGTCTTCTTGAACTGGACTTTGAAATTTTCTGATCAGCTCTTGTACCTCCTCATTTCTTCCATTTGCTTTAGCAGATCTATGTTGGATAGTAAGTTTCAGATTCTCTTCTGACATCCATTTTGATCTTTCCCTTCTTCCTTGTCTTCTTAATGACCTTTTTTGTTTTCTTCCTGTCACACAACTCTTTTAGCTTTCAGTGTTTAGTGTCTAATGTCTCAAGTATGTTCTTTAGATGATCTCTAAATTTAGGTGAGATATATTCAAGGTCATATTTTGGCTCTCATGAACTTGTTTTCATTTTCTTCAGCTTCAGTCTAAATTTGCATATGAGCAATTGATGGCCTGTTCCACAGTCTGCCCCTGGCCTTGTTTTGGCTGATGATATGGAGTTTTTCACCATCTCTTTCCACATATGTAGTCAATTTGATTTCTGTGTATTCCATCTAGTGAGCTCCATATGCATAGCCATCTTTTATGCTGCTATAAAATTAACAATATGGTGGTGGTTATGTGCCATGGAGTCGGTTCCAACTCATAGCAACCCTGTACAGGGTTTCCAAGGCTGTAAATATTTACGGGAGTAGAAAGCCTCATCTTTCTCCCACTGAACAGCTAGTAGTTTTGAACTGCTGACCTTGTGGTTCACAGCCTGATTCATAACCACTATGCTACCACATAAAAATTATGCCTATAGTACCTTAAAATTAACAATATAGTACCATACTAAACCTAAAGGGAGTGATTAAAAGCACTGTCTTCAGAACATGTTCCCTAGGTATGATTCCTAGTACTTACCAGCTTTATGACCAGCTGCTACTTACTAAATTTATGACTTTCAAATGGTTATGTTACTCTCTATGACTTCATTATCACATGTAAGGGATAAGGCTTTTACTATTTACTTATCTCATGAAGTTTTTATAAGCATTAAATGGGATATATATATATATATATATATATACACATAGATAACATGTATTCTTAGAGCTGCTATAACAGAAATACCACAAGAGTGCAGCTTTAATGAACAGCAATTTGCTTTTACGCAGTTTTATTTTTGTTAAGTGCCATTGAGTTTGTTTTCACTCACAGCCACCTTTTCTAAGTAATGACCGGTGAGTTTGAATCGCCAACTTGCAGTTCAAACCAACATTGCAATCTAGCGCATTAACCTGCAGAGAGGCTAGAAATCCAAAGTCAGGGTGCTGGCGGTAGGTAAAGGCTCTTTCTCTTTAAGCTCTGGAGGTAGATCTTTGTATCTTTCACCTTCTGAGCCTCTTCAGTTCCTTGCCTATTTTCATGTAGTATCTATCATCCCTGGTTTTGCTTGCTTCCTTCTGTTCCTAATCTGTTCCTTTCAGATCTCAAAAATGATTGATTTTAAACATATCCTACACTGATATAGTCTCATTAACATAAAAAAACCTATGCCCAATTGCAAATACAGCCACAGATACAAAGGTGAGGATTCCAACATGTATTTTGGGGAGCACAGTTCAATCCATAATCAATATTAAACATTTGTAAAGAGTTCCTAGAATTTTTAAAGTACTAAATAAGTGCTTGCCACCATTTAGACCTACCACTTGTCTGTCACTTTCTCATACTGTGGTGATTTGTGAAGCTAGACACTATGCCACTTTTGTTGAGCAGGTTCCAGTTGAGCTTCCAAACTAAGACAGACTGAGAAGAACCTGGTGATCTAGTTCCCCCTCAAAATGCCATTGAAAACCTTATGAATAGCAACAGTCTGAGCTAGTGCTGGAAGATGAGACCACTGGGTTTTAAGGTGATCAAAACATGACTGGGGAAAAGCTGACTCTCAAAGTAGAGCTGGTCTTAAAAATGTAGATGAAGCAAAGTTTAGGGGCCTTCATTTTCTAATGTGACATAACTCAAAAGGAGAAGTGCTGCAAATATCCATTAGTAACCAGAAAGAGAATGTATGAAGTATGAATTTGGGAAAAGTGGAAGTTGTCAAAATTGAAATGGAGTGCTTGAAGATCAATAGCCTAGGCACTAGTGAGCTGAAATGTACTAGGATGGGGCATTTTGAAGCAGACAACCATATGGGTTATGCCAAAAATGACAAATTTACAAGGAATGGTGTCACATTCATCATTAGAAACATTTCAAAACCTCTATTTAAATACAATGCTATAAATGTTAGGATGATATTCATATACCTAAAACAAAGACTAGTTAATACGACTATTATTCAATTTTACACATCAACCACTAAAGCATAAGATGAGGAAACTGAAGAGTTTTACTAACTTATGCAGTCTAAAATTCATTAAACATGAAGTTGAGATGCATTGATAATTACTGGTGATTGGTACACAGAAGATGAAAACAAAGAAGGGTCAGTAGTTTTAAAATACAGTCTTGGTGATAGAGACAACACCAGAGATCCCATGATGGAGTTTTGCAAGATCAATAACTTACTCATTGCAAATAAATGTTTTCAAAAACAAATATAGTAACTATAAACTGAGACATCACTGATGGAATACACAGGAACCAAATCAACTATATCTGTGAAAAAAGACAATGTAGAAACTCACTATCATTAGTGCCAGGGCCAATTGTGGAAGAATCCATCAAATACTCATATGCAAGTTCAGGTTGAAGCGAAAGAAAATTAAAACAAGTCCACAAGAGCCAAAGTATGACTTTCAATATATCCCACCTGAGTTGAGGGATCATTTCAATAATGATTTGATTCATTGAACACCAATGACTGAAGACCAGATGAATTGTAAAATAATGTCAACGACATCATACATGAAAGAAGCCAAAGTCGCTAAAAATAAAGATGAGCCATGAAAGACCTAACTGAAGAAGTCAGAAGAGACTCTGAAACTTGCTCTTAAATAAAAAGTTGTTGTTAAGTGCCATTAAGTCAGTTCCGACCCATAGCAACCTGTATAGGAGCAGCTGGTGGGCTTGAACCTCAAACCTGGTAGCTCAAACCAACTTTGCAGTCCAGTGCATTAACCCACAGAGCCACACTAAAGCAAATGGGAGAAATGGTGGAGTGAAAAAGCAGAACAGAAGAATACAAAGTGTGTCTCAAGAAGGCAATGAAAATTATTATAATGAAAGACACAGACACCTGGAGTTAGAAAACCAAAAATGATGAAAATGCTTGGCACTTCTTATACTGAAAGAACTGAAGAAAAATTCAAGCCTTAAGTTTATAATAGTGAAGGATTCTTTGGGCAAAATATTGAAGATACTAGAAGTATGAAGGGAAGATAGAAAAATACACAGTCATTGTACATACTTTGGATGTGTTTTAGGAAAGTTGTATCCTTGAAGAATAAGCCCTGAAGGTTGAACACTGGTTTGCTCATTGAAATTTTAGCAGTTCAAACCTGCCAGTCACTTCACATGGAAAGATGACATTTTCTGTTTCTATTTATAACTTCTGAAGTCTTACATAGGGTCTCTATGAGTCAGACTTGGTGGCAGTTGGGATTCCTCAAGAAAGACATCATGCTGATAAAACAGAGAATCAGTGGAAAAGAGTTTGACCCTTAGTGAGATGGACAGACAGTGGCTGCAACATTAGGTTCAAACATGGCAATGACAGTGAGGATGGAACAGAACCAGGCAATGTTTCATTCTGCTGTACAGGATCGATGTACGTTGGAACTGACTTGATGGCATCTAACAACAATGCTCTCCAGACCAAACTATTTTATCTCCAAATAGAAATATATTTATTCACTTATAATCTACAAAGGTTTGAATGCATAGACTTGTGTTACCCAGTAGTTGCTATGCATTTTCTAAAACATATTTGTGGTTATATTTATAGATCTGAATAAAATATGAATAAGCCAGGACTCACAAAGAAGCTTTACAAGTTTTTTATTGAAATGATGAGAAAACTAAGTAATGCTACAAACCTGATTCTTGATTGGCACCGTGTCTACTTTGTATGTGGCACCATCTTTGATCACCAGTTGCCTCTCTGCATTTTCAGTAACAATCGGCTGCTCTTTAAGGTCAGATGATATTCGAAATCCAACAACCACATCTCCAAATGTTCCAGCATGCCTGGTTACATTGATTTGGATAGATCTACTAAGGTTCTGCCCCATAAATATTGACTGGTGACTGGAATACAAGGCAAACACTCCATGTGGGTCATCATTTGCCAAAACAGAAAATCGTGTGATGCATTTTTCTGGATCCAGTTCTGCCCCTCCCTCTACAGAAACAAGTTGGATCACATAATGTTCCTCTATCTCAGGTGTGTCATCTGGTAGCAAATGAACATCAAACCTCACTTCACTTTCTCCATCAGCAATGGAAAAAAAGCCTTTCGTGGAAACAAAGTCTCCTGCAATATTAAACTCACTACTTAATTCCCAATAAACCTAAAGTGAAAAGAGAAAAATCCAACAAAATTAGGCAATTCAGTATATGGAATGAAAATCCTTTAAATTCTTCTTCTTCCATAATATACCACAAGGGAAAAAAAGGGAATTTTAATTGCATATCATTATATTCAAAGCCAAATGCTTCAAGTATAAGTAAATCTGAAAAGTATATGAACTCTTTCAGACTGTGATATTCAATTTTCAGGACAAGGTTACAAACCTATTTCACTTGGTTCTAAAACAGTAACATAATTTGAAAAGGTAAATAGATATAAGTTAACTTTAATGCATTCACTAGTGATATATGAACAATATTTGAAGATAATAGTGAGTAGGTAATCTGATGATTCATATCAAAGAACATCTGTAAGACTACAAGAGTTATTGTTCAAGTTTTAGCCTCCAAGCTATAAATAAGTATAGGTACATAAACACTACTTGATATCCAATGTAAGAAGAGAGGTAAGTGTATAGAGAAATTTCACAAAATATGCTTTGCTAATAAACAAATTATCCTAATCTGGTAGTTGAATACCTAAATGTCTTACAAGAGTATATCCAAATATTCTCTATCAGTACATACGCAAATGCAATCTCTTAAAACAGCAGTTGCTAAAAAATTCTACAAGAAACCGAGCTGTGAGAAATATATAATAGTAAGTGATTCATGAAAAAAATTATTGAGAAGCTTTGATAAGAAAGACTTTATGTTATAGCAAATAAGGAAATATAAAATAGGTTAAGCAGACCTTTCTTGATTAAATATGAGAGCAAATTTTCTAGCCTAACTTTAGCCAAATTTAGAGAAATTGCTAGAGGTCAAGGCTAATTGGAGATCCTAAAAGTGCAAAAAAGAAGCCGCTTAGCTTCTCTGTGAAAACTCACATATTTTCAGTTTATCAGAAACCTCAATTATCCAGGATACCATAGTTTTTCTGTCCTTCTCAACCACATTTCTTGGGCAAAGTGTTACTCTATTTAGCAAAATTATTAAGAAAAATTATACCGTAATGTCTCCTAAAATGCCATTTACTCTTTTGACAAAGAAAGTAATGAGTAGGGGCCCTTCTGAAGCCAGTGGCTCTGCATATGCCTTCTCGGATAAAGAGTCAGAAGCAAACTGAACAACTCCATTTGGATCACCAAACTTTTGTATCTGAAGAATATAAACAAAGCAGAGTGAGTAACATATATAACTATTATAGATTATAATAGTATTCAACATATCAATATGCAGACCAGCAGAGGAAATGAAACATAAAAGAGACTCTTGCTTCTATAGTCAACTACTTGTTGTTGTTGTTAAGTTTTTTGTTGCTAAATGCCATCAAATTGTTTTCAACTCAAAACAATCCTATATAGGGTTTCCGAGGAGCAGCTGGAGGATTTGAACCGCCAACTTTGAGATTAGCAGTCCAGTGCTTCTGACCTTGTGGGATAAAACACTGGGATGAAAAGTCAATTGGAATCACAAGGTCAACAATCCAAACTCACTAGCCCCTCCTTGGAAACCCTGTACAGGATCGCTATGAATCAGAACCTCAAAGGCCCTCAACAACATTTCTCAAGTATAATGGAAATAAGTGTCCAGAAAACCATAATGCATTCAATCAGAAAACAGTAAACGGAACTTCATAAATTCATAGAAAAATATCATTATCTTTTCATTCCATTTTCCCATGAACATCTGAAGCCCCTTCATGTTTTAGTGCCTGTATTTAGCTTTATTCACCTCATATTTGCTCCATTATAACCAGTTAACTTTTGCTGACTTCTTCCTATTGGCAATGATATAACTAAAAATGCAGTGTGTAATGTCTCTGCATTATTTTAGTAATCTTGGTATCTAGCAATTTCTGTCCCTGAAGGACTGGTTGTTCATTTCAGAAATACTAACTTCAGATACATTACCCATACCACCGACATTGTGCTAAATGAACAAGTACCATTCATCCCTCAAATAATCTGATTTAGCAATTAGTAATTTTGCTATGGGGTCTTGGTGTGTCACTGTAGGATAAGCGCTGGACTGCAAGGTCAGTTTGGACCACAACGTCGGCGGTTCAAATCACCAGCTGCTCCTCAGAAATCCTATACATGGACACTTTACCTTAATTACAAAGGTAAGAATATGTAGGATAAAACATCAAATACCTTCTGTCTGAAAGCACCAAATATGCCCCAAACAGAGTTTTCTCAACGTTTGTAAAATATAAAGCTATCATATTAAAAACTTGCTGTTGCTGTTAAGTGTCATCAAGTCAGTTCCGACCCATAGAGATCCTGTTTCCAAGAAGCAGCTGGTAAGCTTGAACCACTGACTTTGTAGTTCAAACTGACTTTGCAGTACAGGACATTAACCCATAGCACCACACCAGGATAATCAGGTTATATAATGAAATAAGATGAAAATCTAAAAGTTCTTCTACCCGTAAAAATTATTATGACTTTATTTGGTTTTACAATTTTCAATTCATTTAGGCCTATAAGATTTCAACAAATATAAATATGTTTTCTAATAAATGCATGAAACACAAAATTTTGTAGAGAAAAAACAAAGACTTACAGTTAATGTAACATCACTAGCTCTGGAGTCTAATCTAGCTTCTCCTTTAACAAGTTTAAGTTTGATAATGAAAGTTTCTTCAACTTCAATTTTCTCATAAGGATAGAGTGCTAGAATTATGGTCCTCAGTCCTCCTTCTCCGTCTTCGAAACAGAAGGACCCTGTCACCGGGTCTGCAATGTCCCCGTTCTGTGGCAGCAACACATCCTGTGAATTGGGTCCTCGTATCTCCCAGTCCACCTGCAAGGTATTTTTAAGGAAATAATTAGTTTTAATTAGCTCTGGTAGCGTAGTGGTTATGAATCGGGCTGCGAACCTTAGGGTCAGCAGTTCGAAACTACCAGTTGTTCCGCGGGAGAACGATGAGGCGTTCTGCTCCTGTAAAGATTTACAGCCTCGGAAACCCTGTATAGGGTCACTATGAGTCGGAATCGACTCCACGGCACATAACAACAACAACAACAACACAATTAGTTTTAAACTAAGAGTTCTTGCAGTATATTCAGTAGTTCATGGGGAATATAAATACTAATTTTTTGTTGTTGTTGTTAAGGGCTGTCGAGTCGGTTACGACCCATTGTGACCCTGTTTAGGGTTTCCAAGGATGTAAATTTTTATGGTAACAGAAAGCCTCATCTTTCGCTGGCAGAGTGGCTGGTAGTTTCGAACTGCTTACTTTAAGGTCCGTAGCCCGATTCGTAACCACTACGCTACCAGAGTGTATGTAATTAAATATTAATTACATCCATATAAATAACTTTAGAATCCAAACCCACCAAAACTAAACTCACTGTTATCAAGTTAATTCTGTAAAGGGTTTCCAAGGTTATTATTCTTTATGGGAACAGAAAGCTTCATCTTCCTCCCAATGAGTTAGTGGTGGGTTTGAACAGTCAACCTTGTGGTTAGCAGTCCAGTGCTTATCCTACAGCACCACATATGTTCTGTGACTCCCCTTTCATGAACTCATTTATACTTTGGCGGGGGGGAATGGAAAATTGCAAATATAAACTGTTACTGATGCATCCTGTTGAGTTGGTTCTACTCATAGTGACATTATATAGGGTTTCTGAGACTGTAAACCTTTACAGGAGCAAAAGGTCTCATCTTTTTCTTGTGCAGTGACTGGTGGATTCGAGCAGCTGATTTTGCGGTTAACAGGCCAACACACAACCCATTATACCATTCAAACTCCTAAATGTAAACTACATACCAAAAAATTATCAGTTTTTATTGAAACAATTATCCAATAAGAGAAGAAAAATAGTAATGCATCTTAATTCACCTTAACAAGATAACAAAAATATAAAAAGTAAAAGTAACAAGCTAAATATAGAATATTCTATCTATACAAGTATGTAAAGGAGATATAAGTTTTTAAAACATGTTGTTGTTGTTGTCAGGTGCCATAGAGTTAGAACTGACTCATAGCGACCCCATGCACAGCAGAATGAAACAATGTCCAATCCTGGGCCAACCTCACTACCGCTGCCACACTTGATGCCATCAATGATGCCACCTGGCTGATCCATCTGGTTGGGGGTCTTCCTCTTTTTCTCTGACCCTCCACCCTACCCAGCATTACATCCTTCTCCAACGATTGTTTCCTCCAGACAATATGTCCAAAGTAGGAGAGACGAAGCTTAGCCATCCTGGCCTCCAAGGAGCACTCTGGCTGCACTTCTTCCAAAACAGATCCATTGGTTCTTTTGGCAGTCCATGGCACTTTTAGTATTCTCCTCCAACACCACAATTCAAAGTCACCAATTCTTCTACAATCTTCCTTATTCACTGTCCAGGTTTCACATCCATATGATGTTATTGAAAATGCCATGGCTTGGGTCAGGTGCACCTTAGTCCTCAAGCTGACATCTCTGCTCTTCAACACTTTGAAAAGTTCCTGTGCAGCAGATTTGCCCAATGCAATACATTGTCTGATCTCTTGACTACTGCTTCCACGAGTGTTGATAGTTGATCCAAGAAGAATGAAATCCTTGACAACTGCAATCTTTTCTCCATTGATAAGAATGTTGTTTATTGGTCCAGTGGTGAGGATTTTTGTTTTCCTAACATTGAGATGCATCCCATACCGAAGGCTGTGCTCTTTAATCTTCATCAGTAAATGTTTCAAGTCCTCTTCACTTTCAGCAATCAAGGTTGCATCATCTGCATATTGCAGATTGTTAATGAGTCTTCCTCCAATCCTGACGCCACGTTTTTCTTCATAGAACCCAGCCTCTCATATTATTTGCTCAGCGTACAGGTTGAATAAGTATGGTGAAAGAATACAACCTTGTCGCACAGCTTTCCCAATTTTAAAACATTCAGTGTTCCCATGCTCTGTTCGAACAACTGCTTCTTGGTCCAGGCAACAACAAGCAATATTTAAAATGTCTATAATTTATACATGTATATTCTGAAGAAAGAATATTGGTCACTTCTCCTAGGTTGTAATTGATCTTTCTTCTACAATGAACAGAGATGACCACTTCTTTCTTGAAACTCAGAGACCTGCCCTTTTTGGCTTACATGATTCTCTCTCTTCCTAGTTTTCCTCCAAGAATAAAACTCTTGATTTCTCCCCAAGCTTCTCAATCAGAGTAAATAGTATATAAATTAGCTCAAGCTAAATTTCTCCTAGTGTGGTGCTCTGGGTTCATGTTCCAGACTGCAAAGCCATTTGAACTGCAAGGTTGGTGGTTCATGTTTACCAGCTGCTCCTCAGAAACCCTATACAGGGTTGCTATGGGTCAGAACCAATTCAACAGCACTAAACAACATCAAGAACAACAAATTTCTAAGAGTTATCCTTGATTCCTTTCCCCTCAACCGACACCCTAGTTCAGTGACATTTTTTTCCTTCAGAATATACTCTGTGTACTAGAATGTAAACGTTTTAAAGAATAAAAACAAGGTTTGTTTACTAGTATACTTCCAGTACCCAAAACAGGGTTTAGTATATGGAATGCACTCAATAAATATTTGCTAAATTCATTGTTACCAGATTTATTCATTTAATTTCTAGCTTGCTCTCAAGTGTATCCAGAGGGCAGATGTATGCTTCCTGCACTTCTTAAGCACTTCAAAGAACTTAGAAAATACTTTTGAAATACCAGCAATTGATAAATATGCATTCATTGTTAACAAGTAATAAATTAATTTGGGAAATGTGAAAATTGAACACTATACTCGTTGTATCAAAAATTATTTGTAAAACAAACGTGAAAATAACTACCTGTACCAAGTAGAATGGGAGAAAAATGCAGAACAAAAGTCAAATTCATAAAGAACCCCAAATTTACTTAACTAACAGAGATTAGTGGGTCCCTAAGGCTCTCAGTTTATGACACCATTTTAACCTGGAACTGAAAGCACTCCCAGAGTTCACCTTTCAGACAAATGACAGATTGGCCTATAATGTAAATAACACCCACGAGGAATGTGCTCCTTAGAATAATCAACCATACAAAATCAAATAGCAACATATATCCAAAAGCAAAGATGAGAAGGCAAAAAAGGAGCAGGGAAAGTGGAGGGATGAAAACAGGGAAGGCAGGATGGTAACAGAGAGAGAGCTTACACATGGCCTAGATAGCAACCAATGTCACAAAACTATTTGTGTATGAATAGTTGAAAGTAAACAAATTTGCTGTGCAAACTTTCACCTGAGACACAGAAAAATTTCAAAATAAATAAATAAACAAGAATAACTCTACCTGAATCTCCCCCAAGAGTCCTCCGGTCCGCTCCAGTACCAATGATAAAATCATTGTAGAATTAGGGTTAGGAACAGAAAGTTTGCTTTGATTGAGAAATCTCACAACTCCAATAGGATTGTCACTCTTAGCAATCGTAATTCTGCTCACTAGGTGGCGCCCAAGGACCGCTCCACCGGTAGTCCCAACAAGCAGAATTTCAATGGGCTCCTCAAATTCACTGCATAGCAAGAAGAGCAATTCTGTGATTCTAAACATATTAAAATGCCTCTAAACCCCAAATAACTAGTCATTTACCAAATTGGTCATACATATTCAAGGCACAGTAGTCACACACCAAGTGGTAAGAAGAGGGTGCTTAGCTAAAAGCATGAATTATCAACATCAATATTGTATGACAGGCCTTCAAAAAGTACATGGAAAAAATGGAATTAAAAGATAATGGAATTTTTTCACGAACTTTTTGAAGGATTTCCATATATTAAACAGTAATTAGTCCCTGTACTCTTCCCCACTCTTTTATATTAGTTATTACACTAAGGAAGGGAATTGAAGGATGGTTTTCCACATTCTGATAAAACTTTTGCAAGTTCAAAGGAACAAAAATTCTTTCCTTTAATTTGAAGAAACAGTTGTTTAAGCAAGCACAATGATCTCCCAGAGCCTCTTCCTAAACCTCTATCATCACAAAAAGTTTTTCATTTGTTTCTTCTCAATGGAACATGGATCATCTAAAACTCTATTATCAAGGAAAGACGTATGTAAGGAATGTTGTTGTTACATGCCATCTGGTAGATAGGCTACTCATAGGGGACTCAATGTGACAGAGTAAAACTATCCCATAGGATTTTCTACACTATAATCTTTATAGGAACAGATTGCCAGGGTCTTTCTCCTATCAATAGGTTTAAAGCCCAAACCTTTAGGTTAGAAGCTAAGCGCTTAATCATTGCACTACCAAGGCTCCTTATGTAAAGATTAACCAAGAACCAAACTCACTGTCATTGAGTCAATTCTGACTCCTTGTGACCCCATATGGGGCTTTAGAAGCTGTAAATCTTTATAAGAGTAGAAAACTTCTTTCTTCCACAGAGTTTGAACTACCAACCTTGTGGTTAGCAGTACAATACCTATCCTATAGTGCCACCCAGGATTAGTACACAATAGTCATGCTTTACGTATGTCTACATTTTTTTCTCTATCACTAAACACTACCTTTCATTGTCATCAATGATGGAGACATTTATAAAACTTAAGTTCTGTCCATGCTGAAATGTAACTGTACTACCATGCGTTACATAATCGACACCACCAGAGACGGCAGGGGAGTGTTGAGAGATGAAATCAGCTGTCACAAGCCCATACGTTCCGCGCAGTCTCACCACAGCGATCCTGATCATCCTGACATCTTTCTCCACTGCAAAAGGGATTCACAATTAACTGGGAGGCCAGCAACTACATTTTCTAGGAGTTCAGCCAAATGAAATATGGAATTAAATATCAAGGTACAATGCAAGCACACATTGTTTCCAATGTTTGTTTATTAATTTTTAAAAGGATTAGTAAAAATGTTATGACTTATTTTTAGGAGTACTATTGTTTATTTAAAGTGCAAAGTTACAGTATGCAAAGTAACTTAAAATTTAAATACTGTATCAAATAGTTGACATAAGCATCCTTCCACTGTATACTATACACAAACATGACTCTTCTGTTACGGAAAAATGCTAGATCGACAGGAAAAGAAACCTACTTAAATGATATGTATTGAAAGGAAACCACTCTGTATTGTTCCTATACATTTAGCTGAAATGCAAATAATATGATATAAATAAATGCAGTTTATTTATGTATGTCATGTTACTATTGTTGCCAAGTGCTTTCATGTCAGTTCCAACTCATAGCGACTCTGTGTAGGGTTTACGAGGCTATACATCTTTGCAGGTGCAGAAAGCCTCATCGTTCTTCTGTGGAGCAGCTGGTGGGCTCAAACTATTAACCTTGCAGTCCACAGTCCAATGCTTATCAAACGAAACAATTACACTCCCCATTTATGACACATGAATGAATGTTTAAAATGTCAAAATGTATATTCTATTATATCTCCAGTTCCAGTGAAACTTGTGCATCTGAAAATTAATGTTTCATTTCAACTAAAGGGTCCTTTTCCCAGAATTATCTTTATTTCTTCTTAGGTTATGCTAACCTCTCCATAGTAAAACATCCTATAATAGAGTTCACATTTAAACAAGAAAAGAGAAGTCTATTGTCATTGAGTTGATTCCAATTCAGGGCCAAATAATTCTTAACTTCATTATAAACTTAAATATGCACTGTTCAAAGCTCTCCCAAAATAGTGAATTAAAAAGAAAGCAGTTAGCAACAATAAAATGAATGCATAATTCAGAATCCAATTCATTTTTGATGTAAACATGTACTATGACTTTTGCTAGCTTTAAAGTGAAGTTCTCAAAAAGATGGTATCTTCCATGACTTTACTCATAAAGACAACATAAACCAACACTTAAAGTAATTTAGATTAATATTTGAAATAGCTAGCAAGATAAACTAAGAATTTTGATGGAGATAATGAAACTGATAAATTAACAGCAAGAGAATAACATGTTAATTTAAAAAGGTATATTTATACCTTTGAATACAATCATTTCCTAGAAAAATAACCACAGTTTCTACCCAAGATATATATACTGCAACAAGTGTCTATAAGAAGGAAAAACCAGCCATCGCAGACAACTTACTACTAGAAACGGTCTTGGCAAAGTAAGGTCAGAGATCAAGACAACACATTCATCTGTAGACCACCCAAAATAATTAATTTAAAAGGAAAACACTATTCATTAGAAACCGAATATACACTGATATCTGATCAGTGAGAATTTTAAGTATTGAATATATTAGAAAATTTTTCATAAAAATGTTAGAAATAATCCTAAAGTTAAATATAATTTTTCTAAATTGTCTCAATGTAAACCATTCCACTTGTTATACAAAATTAAGATTCAGGAATGTCCAAATGTAACTCAATAAATAAATATGTGTATAAGAATGTATGTGTATCTACACAGAGACAACCCACACACTACACCTAGTAAATTTACACACAGGAATTCAAACTGACAATTCAACAATGCCATGCTCAGTTATTTTGTATTTCTAAAAGTGTGGTAAACTTACTGTAAGTAAGGATACTTGAACCTACCTTCAATAGCAGTATACTGTGGGTCAAATTCAATGATGCCCTCTACATTATCATTTTTCATTATTGTGATACGGACAGTGGAGATTTTTCCTATTTCAGGAGGTTGATCTATCTGAAGTCCATTTTCTTGTAAGGTAAAGTCATACCCTCTTTCATATTCATAAAAAAAGTAAAGAAATATACAATTGTTTAGCAGAAATTGAAGAGTCTTGTTAGCTCCTAGACCTACTAGATATTCTAATGTACTTTGTTGTAGCTGTTAAGTGCATTGAGTTTGTTCTGACAACTAGTAATCCCATCTAGAGTTTCCAAAGAGCAGCTGGTAAGTTTTAACCACCAATTTTTCAGTTAAAACAGATCTTTTGGTCCAGTACCTTACTCTACAGCTCCACAAATTCCCCAAACTAAGATATTATTTTTTTCCTGGAATGATTTTTAAAAACTATCTTCTATGCTATTCCTAATTAATATTGTCTGCATGGAACCAAAACTAATATGAAGTTACTGCATTTGGGCAATGGGAAGATAATAAAGCTAATAGGAAATGGAGAGGAACCTGTCGCAAACAAAATCTCTTGAACATCTCCTACAATAATGGTCTAAGAAAAGACAATTACACCAAACTGTTTTGTACTGAAAACTAGTAATCTAGCTGGGCTTGAAATTTATAGTTTCAGGTTAGAAGATTATTTAAAGGAAATGATGGATGTTATCCCACTAATTAAACTTCAAGCTAACCATCTAGATTTGAGGATATATTTATTTTTTATTTTTAGGAAATCAGTTGCAATCAATGTGTCTATTCATTAATGACATATTTCTCTAATGACATATTTCCAAAACAGTGGTTTTATTTTTTGGTTATTTGTTTTGCTTGTTTAGATTACTATTATTCCCATAACACAAAAGTTTTGACTTTCAGGATTTTCTGTCACTCTTTAATTCCTGAGGCTAAAAATATATCACTTAAAGCGCTTCGTTCTTTAAATTCCAAATTCTATTTACTTGTTATTTGTACTCTATCAGGTTTTGAAAGACCAGTAGCTTGTTAACAAGGTCACATAGAAGGAAAATTTAAAAACTGGAGATTGAAATATATGTTGAGTATGTGTACATCAAATATTTTTGCTTTGTTCATTTGTGAAATACAAGATGTAAAAGGGGAGCCACAGGGAGGAAGCAGCATAAAGGTTGTTGCAGGGAGGGGATTGCAATTACTGAGATGAAGCAAAGTGTATAATTTGTTGACTGTAAAGCTGATGATCTTGTCTGTTAACCATTACTCAATTCTCAATAAAAAGCTTAAAAGATAAAATAAAAACAGAAATACATGTTGACAGTAACTTTTATCAGGAATCTAATAGGTTACCAATTATCTCATTACAGTACTAAATACCAAAGCATTAACATTTCTAATAACTAGGCAAGAAAACAAATATATTAGACTATAGTGTTTCCTTTTCTAAGATTAAAATAAGCCTAGAAATATTTCTAGAAGCAATAATTTTTTGCCCAGAATTAAAGTAGGAACTGATTCTGTTCAAGAGAGTAGAGGAGAGGATAAAATTATCAATTTTCACTCAGTTAGACATTAATACAGACATGACTCTATTTAATGAGCTACTTTGACAAATTTTCAGTTAATTAAAATAATCATTGGCCGGCTCATATATAGAAGGAGTACAAATTCATCGCACTGCTATACACATAATCATCCCTAGAAAACCTAAGAACTGAGTGTATCATAATTAGTATACATGCTACCTAAGTCAATGAATGAAATGTTTCAATTATTTTTTAAAAAGAGCTTTTAAACCTTGGCATTTATGTAAGCAAACGTAAAAGCATTTCATTCATCAGGAAAACTTTAGGAGTTAAGATAAATGCAAACAGAAATTGATTTAAAGGCCCCTCTGTGTCAGGTTCTTTGTAAATTATACAGGGCTTCTT